GGGGGGGGGACTTCAAAGCAGCAGGGGCCAGGCCATGGGCTCCCCAATGCTGCTGTTTTGAAACACTATGTGGAGCCCCAGGGGGGAGGGGGGGGGGGGGACTTCAAAGCAGCAGGGGCCAGGCCATGGGCTCCCCAATGCTGCTGTTTTGAAACACTATGTGCAGCCCCTGGGGCCAGCTGGAGACTACCCCACTGACCCTGGGCTCCCTGTGGCACTGCTGCTTTGATACACCTAGGGGAGCATGGGCCAATGGGACTGCTTGAGTCTCCCTCTGGCCCCCTGTTTCCTGCAGCGTTTTTGCCTTTGTAGTATAGTAATAGCCCTGAGGCACCCTTATCAACTAATCAAATAGTCATGCGTTGACGAATCAATTAGCCAGTTAATATAAATGTAACATCCCTACCCTACTTTACACACAAACCAATGGAAAATACTTCAATTGATGATGAGAATGACAAAGGTGCAAGACAAGAATAATGCTGCCTGAGAAGTTGTTTGGTTTAAAGGCAGACTTTTCATCTTTTGAGAGGTGATGCTGACAATCTGGTGATAAAGCTTTACCTTCAGGAATCCAAGTGTCTGCTGATATTCATTGTAATCTTACTCCCTAGTGCAGTGGTCTCCAACCTTTTTACACCCAAGATCACTTTTTAAATGACAGACCAAGCCAAGATCTACTGCCCTGCCCTTTCCTTGAAGCCCCGCCCCTTCCTTGAAGCCCCTCCCTCTCTATTCTCCTCCTCTCCATCACTTGCTATCCCCAATCCTTATACTGCTGCTTATTTTATTTTTTTTATTCTTCTGTAGGAAGAGGTTTTTCCAACATTTGGCCTGTCTACACTGGACCAAATGTCAGAAAAAAAACCCTTCTTTTGGAAGCCACCTTATTCCTTGTGGAAAGAGGAATATAGGGGTGACCAAAAGAGCCTGTTTGCTCTTCCACTAAAAAAGCGGAAGAACAAACGCAACCCTGGATGCAGAAGAGTTTTTCTGGGATATCTCCAGAATCCTGAAAAACTCCTGCAGTCTAGCTGGACCCTTGCTGTGTTGAGACAGGATGTGTAGGCTCTGGGGTGGGAATGAGGGATTTGGGTGTGGGAAGGGGTGAGAGGTGCAAGCTCTGGGAGGAAATCTGGCTGCAGGAGGAGGTGGAGAAGGGCACACTGGCTCGGGGAGGGGGCTCCAGGCTGGGCAGTAGGGGGCCAGATGCGGGCTTGGCCCCAATTGGGGGTTTGTTGGCCAGGTTTCATTTTTAAATAGAATACTATGTTAAACACACAAAGTTTCTGCATTGTCTTTATTTATGAGAATGGCAGGGAACCTGCCTTGAGTCAGGTGTCACTGACCC